AGAAAAAAATGGTTCAGACACGTTTTGTATAGTTTCGAGGGGGTCATAAGATGGTACCATTGATTTGACCTTGAAGAGTCATTTGAAGGTCACGTGAAGGTTATCTCAATTTTTTTTTATAATAAAAAATAGGGGCACCCCCTATTTTTTATTACATATTCTTATAGCTGACCTCGAGAGCTTCCCAAAACACTATAATCAAATGTTTTTTGGTGATGTACTTTTCGAGTTATAAAGCTCTAAATTTATAAAATTTTGATAAAAATACAAAATATTTCGTAAAACATTCACTTTCCGATAGTCTTATCTTACATGATCCAACCAGTCAAGGCAAGATCCGAGCATGACCCAACTAGTCAAGGCAAGATCCGAGCATGATCCAACCAGTCAAGGCAAGATCCGAGCATGATCCAGCCAGTCAAGACGAGATCCTGTATTGCCTGATAATCAATGAACTGTAACAATTGTGAAAGTGCAATTGACAATTCTTTTAATGAAACAAATATCAAGAGGCTTGTTTCAAATTTCTTACTTGGGCAACTGTCGGTATTTTGGCGAAGTCTCAGACAGACGCATATTATTATCCATTGACTTTTTTTTATAAGACAGGAATTTTTTGTTTTTTGGCGCTTTTTTCTTTATAATTATGGCTGCTTATCCACCAAATGAAATTGTGGACATGATTCGCATTTTGGGTGAGGCCAGGAATAATTACTAGGCAGCAGAAAGGCTTTATGCTGAAAGATTTCCAGACAGACGCCATCCTGATAGCAAAGTAATAAAAAGGCTGCGACAGAGCTGAACAGGGTTTTCTTAGAAAAAATCGGCGAAAATCGGGCCCTGATAAAGTCACATCATTGACTGTTATAGGTGCCGTTGCTTTGAATCCTCAAATCTCTACGAGACAAATTGAGAGGCAATACAGTATATCTAAATCAACAGCCAATCGTGTGCTTAAGCTCAACAAGTTTCACCCATATCACATTCATCTAACTCAGCAATTGGAAGAGAGGGACTACCAACGCCGTGTACGTTTTTGTAACTGGGCTCGAGATCAAATCCAACAAAATCCCCGGTTCATTACTGATACGCTTTTTCTGATGAAGCCACATTTTGTAATAGAGGAGGCGTTAATAGACATAACTGCCATTATTATTCAGATGCTAATCCACATTGGCAGAGAAGCCAAGAGTTCCAACAGCAGTGGTCCATTAACGTTTGGACAGACATCCTGGGAGATGTTATTGTTGATCCATATTTTTTTGAAGAAAATCTCAATGCGGCAATCTATCTAAGATTTCTTTAAGATGACCTGCCCAACCTCTTGAGACATGTCGACAATGATTTACTCAGACGAATGTGGTTCCAACAAGATGGAACACCGGCTCATAGATCTCGAGCTGTTACACAATATTTAAACAATAGATTCCCGAATAGGTGGATTGGTATGGACAGCCGAGTTCAAGAATGGCCCCCAAGATCACCCGACTTGATAGCCCTAGATTTTTATTTCCGGGGGTACATTAGAGATATAGTTTATTCGCAAAAGCCTACAACCGTTGAAAATATAAAAAAACCGGATCAGACAGGCTTGCAGAAATATTAATGTAGGTGTTCTTGAAAAAGTTAAGGACGACTTTCACCATAGACTAGAGCTATGCATACAAGTAAATGGCCAAGTTTTTGAACACTTTAAGTAATTGTACACAAAAGAAGATCTTGCCTTGACTGATTGGATCATGCTCGGATCTTGCCTTAACTGGCTAGATCATGCTCGGATCTTGCCTTGATTGGCTGGATCATGTTCGGATCTTGCCTTGACTGGCTGGATCATGCTCGGATCTTGCCCTGACTGGTTGGATCATGTAAAATAAGACTATCGGAAAGTGAATGTTTTACGAAATATTTTGTATTTTTATCAAAATTTTGTAAATTTGGAGCTTTATAACTTGAAAAGTACTTCACCAAAAAACATTTGATTATAGTGTTTTGAGAAGCTCTCGAGGTCAGCTATAAGAATATGTAATAAAAAATAGCGGGTGCCATCTAAAAAGATTGAGGTAACCTTCACGTGACCCTCAAATGACTCTTCAAGGTCAAATCAATGGTACCATCTTATGGCCTCCTCGAAACCATACAAAACGTGTCGGAACCATTTTTCTCTAAAATAAAAAATAAGAGAGATATTTGGGGTGGACACTTAAAATGGGACACCCTGTATATACATGTATATACAGGGTGCATGATTTATCTGAAGACATTGAAATATCTCGAGAACTATGCATTGGATAAAAAAAGTGGTTAATGAAAGTTGTTAGTCTCGAAGGGGGACATCCAATGATACCAAACTCGACCTCCCACCCTACCCCCTGGGGGTGGGGGTTGGGTGCAACTTTGAAATCTTAAATGGAAACCCCCATTTTTTATTGCAGATACGGATTCTACGCCACAAAATACGTAAATTTTGTGCGAAACTTTTTTTTTTATTCGTGATAGATGGCGCTGTAATCGCAAAAAATTATATTTTCCGCAATTCTCCAGAAATGATCATTGAATTGAGAAATAAAAAATACCTGTTCAATATTTTTAAAGAACATAAAAGTTATTCCCCCCCCCCAACCTCTCGAGGTAGGGTGGGTGATAACGTTCAAATCTCAAATGGGGACCCACATTTTTCATTGCAGAATTAGATTGTACGTGAAATTTTTATTAAAACAATTTTTTTCATTCGTGATAGCGTTGAATTTTTCCGAGAAACTACTTTTAGCGTTACACAGGAACAACGACGAGGACGTAGTAGTTTTATGTTCCCTTCGGGTGCTTTTTTAATGTGAGTCTCCTTGCCTCTCACAGATCGGGGTGCTTTTTTAATGTGAGTCCCCTTGCCTCTCACTGTTCAATTAATTAGAGTAAGTGTTCGAAATTTTTACCTTCAACTTCAATACACTTATTGATCCTTTTTTCAAATGACTGTACACAGGATAGAAGCATATCTGCGGGAGTTTCAGCGTAAGCGTTTCTTATGCGTTCTACCATGTTTTCACGAGTTGTTGGCACTTGTTGATAAACCTTATCTTTTAGGTAACCCCACAGAAAGAAATCCGGCGATGTCAAATCAGGCGACCTAGCAGGCCAATTAATCGGGCCACCTCTGCCAATCCATCTTTGCCTTTTATAATAAGTCGTAGTTCGCCATACACCCACAGTGGCGCGTCGAGCAGTTCCCTCTTCGATTCGGGTTCCCATTTGATTTTTGAACGTTACCACCCACCCTACCCCGAGAGGATGGGGGGGAATAACTTTTATTATGTTCTTTAAAAATATTGAACAGGTATTTTTTATTTCTCAATCCAATGATCATTTCTGGAGAATTACAGAAAATATAATTTTTTGCGATTACAGCGCCATCTATCACGAATCAAAAAAAAAGTTTCGGACAAAATTTACGTATTTTGTGGCGTAGAATCCGTATCTGCAATAAAAAATGGGGGTTTCCATTTAAGATTTCAAAGTTGCCCCCAACCCCCACCCCCAGGGGGTGGGGTGAGAGGTCGAGTTTGGTATCATTGGATGTCCCCCTTCGAGACTAACAACTTTCATTAATCACTTTTTTTTATCCAATGCATAGTTCTCGAGATATTTCAATGTCTTCAGATAAATCGTGCACCCTGTATATGTGTACACACACACACACACACACACGTGTGTGTGTGTAAAATATATATTTATTAATTTCAATTCATTGATTGTACGAAATTACTTTAAATGATTATTTCAAATATACAGGATGTCCCATTTTAACTTTTGCATTAAAAAATCTCGAAATCTTCGAGGTCTACGAAAAAATGTTTCAGACATAAGTTTTATAATTTCAAGGAGGACATAACAATAAAACAACTATACTATTTTGCTTACAGATGGCGCCACTTACGAAATATTCACTGATCATTACTTTTCTTAAGTGGATACCCCAATTTTTTATTACACCTTCTTTTTTTACCAATTAATTTAAACAACTTTTGTCTGAAAATTTTTTTTATTTGCCTAATATTTTTTGAGATATTTAACACGTTCGCGACATCGTGACCCACTGGTGGGTCACACTGATTTATATTAATAGACGTGCGTGTCCATCGATGGATCACACACTATGAAATATTGCACTGCTTCTGAAAGCCTCTGTGTGTATCGGGGGCTCTATATATCATAACTACGGCTACATGAGAAATCTATGTACTAGCAACATGGTTTGTCGATCAGACAATTATAGCAAAATAACATGTTTATTCAAGGAAAGCTGAACACGAACACTGTAAACTTGTGCGTCCTTTAGAGTGAACCAATGGATTTATTGTTCGTCGCGAACGTGTTAAGGAAGACTTGATAACTTGTTCAATATTTAACTCACGATATCTCATTAACTATTTGTCGGAAGAAAAACTACTAGACTTTTTTGCTCTACTTGGTCTCAGGAATATATTGTTACAATAGCGTCCTGAGTTTTGTTAATTTGATCATTTTGAAATTTCCAAAAGTCAGTAAGTTAACAAAAGTCAGGGCGCTATTGTAACAATATATTCTTGAGATCAAGAAGAGCAAAAATGTCTAGTACCACTTTTTCTTCCGACAAATAGTTAATGAGATATCGTGAGTTAAATATTGAAAAAGTTATCAAGTCTTTCTTAAATATCTTAAAAAATATTAGGCAAATAAAAAAATTTTTCAGACAAAAGTTGTTTGAATTAATTGGTAAAAAAAAGTGTAATAAAAAATTGAGGTATCCATTTAAGAAAAGTAATGATCAATGAATCTCGAAAGTGGCGCCATCTGTAAGCAAAATAGTATAGTTGTTTTATGTCCCCTTTGAAATTATACAACTTTTATCTGAAACATTTTTTCGTCGACCTCGAAGATTTCAAGATTTTTTAATGCGGAAGTTAAAATGGGACACCCTGTATATAAACATTTTTTATATATTGATCTTTTTCATATTCTTTTAGTTAGCTGCAGTAAAAGACAAGATGATGAGAAGAAAGATTTGTCGTGTACCTTATATAATATATGCAATTGGCATTATCTTAAGAAACCAGCAATAGAATATCATGATTTACAAAAAGTAAAGATTATAAGTTACAATGAATTGCAAGCTGCAACAAAAATAGTCTCTGATTGTTTGAAATATATACAGAATCCTGAATTTATTGGCATCAATTTTGATATTTTAGAATATTGTGTGCCTTCTTTAATGCTTGGGTAAGATCTGATATATTTTTATTATTGTTTATAATTAAATAATTTTATAATTAAGTAATTTTTATTGGACATGATAAGGTAAAATTGTTTTGTTCTCGTTATGCACATTTATCTTAAGTTTATATCAATCTTTTGACAGGATTCTTCATAGTGGAAATGCTTTTTTTAATATATCCTCAGATACAAAGACATGTCAAGATATATTTACTGTTTTACATGTAAGATATATCTTTACCAAATATGTGACACCTAACAAAGAAATCATATATCAATTGAATATTCATGGACAATCTGTATACTTTACAAAATTAATGGATGTCCTAGCAAGTGGTGCTAATGGTAAAAAATGGCATCAATTTGCATATGCAATTGCTACTTCAGGATCAACTGGATTACCAAAAATTGTTAAAGTACCTCATTCCTGTATATTACCTAATATTATAGATTTGAAGAGAATTTTGGAAATGACAGAAAATGACAAAATTTCCCAGTTAACAAATTTTACCTTTGATCCATGTATTATTGAAATTTTCTTAAGTCTTTCATGTGCTGCAACTTTGTTCATGGTGTCAAAACAACTAAAATATGAAGCAAATAGGTAAATAACAGTTATTAAAAAGAAAAACTCAATTTAAAAAATAAATACTGAAAGAAATGAAGTAGTGTGTAAAGTGAAATTAAATATATTTTAGACTCTTGGAAAAGATATTCCATGCCCACGTAACATTTCTTCAAATTACTCCATCGCTATTTTTTCACATGTGGTCCACAAAACGCTTAAGGATAACAATTTTGGACAAGAATTCTTATTTAAGAATTCTTCTTTTGGGTGGAGAACCATTTCCTAGTACCAAGTTGCTTTCAGAAGCTAGTCACTCACAAAATAAGACACGATTGTTTAATATTTACGGTATAACCGAAGTATCGTGCTGGTCTAGTATTAATGAAATAATTAAAAACAATGGTATAGATGAATCTTATATTGGAGAACCTTTATCAGAAACTATATACCAAGTCAGAAATGAGAATAACGAGATATTAACTAGAGGCACTGGCTTCCTTTATATTGGTTAGTTTTTAATACTATAGTTATGTGAAATATATATCTGCCAAATTTTATTATTAAACAGATAAATCGACCTATTTATCTTTAACATAGGAAGCTCGAGTAGGATTTGCATTATTGGAAATGAAACCGATGAAGACAATTTGTGTAAGCAAGTTTTCCGCTATACCGGTGATGTTATTTCGGTAAGTTTTATTAACTATATCTTTTGCAAAATTCCTTAAGATTAGATGAAGATATTATTTAAAATTTCTAATTTTGTTATTTTCTTTTTTATAGATAGATGATCACGGTAGAATATTTTATTTAGGAAGGCAAAATAATGTGATAAAAAGATTTGGAATCAAAGTGAATTTACGGGAACTCGAAAAAGTCATGACGGAATTAAATTTTGTGCGAAATTGTGCCGCGCTTTGGGACGCAAAAAGCCACAAATTATATCTATGTTTATCTATTATGAAAATTAAAGAATTTATCAACTTGGAGAACAACATAATATCACATTTAAGAATATTACCAGCGATTTATAAACCTGATAAAATAATTATAGTCGAACAATTTGATTTTACTTCTAATGGAAAAATTTGTATGTCGTCACTGAAGAAAGTGTGCAGAAACTCCGAAACGGAAGTTATCAGTGCAAATAATTCGTACGCTGATATAGGTGAAATATTTAAAAATTTATGGAGTCAGCATATAAAAGTTAAAGATGTTGGTTTTCTGACGTCAGGAGGGACATCAATAACAGCACTTCAGATTTCAAGTGCTGCTGCCGAGACGTTTAAAGTGGAATTTCCCGAATTGATTGGTATGTTGCTGAAGGACGTTACATTTATTGAGTGCGTTAATTACATCAGAACCACTTTAACCAGCTTGGATTGGAACATGAGTCTCAATCGTTGCATTGCCGTTTTTTACGATAACAAAATCCAAAGCATCTTTAATACAGATAAGTTCATGATAGAAAAACCAGTTTTGAATAGTTACCCAATGTCCACAAATCGTAATAATTCTTACCAATATAAATGCAGAGGAAAAACTAATGGAGACATATTAGTTCAAGAACAAAGCATTAAATTACTTTCGATAAATATATCAAGTATTGAAGTAGTATCAACTTATAATTTGCAGAAATGCGTTGATGCTTCGCCAACTGTGTATTGTTATTCTACGTAAGTTTTTCAAAATAATATCTTAATTGTGAATGTCATAATAAAATGTCATAATAAAATAATATCTTAATTGTGAATGTCATAATAAAATAATATCTTAATTGTGAATGTCATAATAAAATAATATCTTAATTGTGAATGTCAATTTTTTAAGTGTTTTCCGATTTAAGTGTTTACCGATTTTCAGATCAGAATTGTTCGTAACAGTCGGTTCACATTCTGGAATTATATGTACAGTTAACCTGTTAGAAAAAAATACTAAACCATACGAATTAAAGTTACCAGATAGGATAGAAGCTTCTATTTTAGTCTTAACCGAATTTCGTGGAATTGTAGGTAAGAGTCTCGTATCGCAATGTAATTAAATTATTATTGAAAAATGTCATACAAAATTTTAAATTGCAGGCTGTTACGATGGATATATCTATTGCGTTCATTTAAAAACGGGCGAAGTAATTTGGAAATTTCAAACGCAAGACATGGTAAAATGTACGGCGATAACGTGTGTGCAAAAGAGCAAGATATTTGTAGGTTCTTACGATCATCATATATATTGCCTTTCAATAGAGGTATGTATTAATTATAATTATTATCGTTAACTTTTAAATTTCATCATATCTTCCTCAAGGCTTTTGGTTAGGCCCAAAATTTTTATTTCTAACTAAAAAAATATTTATATAAAAGAATATTTTAAATCGTTAAAATATACTTGTAAAATGCTCTTACACAATGTTCAGACACAACATATTTCTTTTGATAATCACTCAACAATCATAATAACTAATATAAAATTGGTTATATGGAATGATTACACATACGCATGACGACCTCAATATTAATTATGGTTGTCGATTGATTATCAACAAAGAATTATAGTGTGTGCTTTTGGAGCATTTTATAAATATGCTTTAGTAATTTGAAATATACTTTTATTCAAATATTTTTTGTTTGGAAATGGCGCGCAAAAACTTTCAGTGTGTCATTTCTTCCTTTTGACATCTAATGTGGCCACGTTGAGCAGACAGAAAATACAACATATAATGTTCCGAAAAATAAAAACATTTTGATTTATTTATATCCTTTATAGCTTTCAAAATTATCTTATGATAATTTACTCATTCAGGCAGAAGAGAAAATCATAATGAGATCAAAATGATGTCAAAATGATGAGGAAAATTTATTTTTTATCATGATTCGGTCATTTTAATGTCATCATGGTTTTCTGTTCTGCCTGGGTATCTTGGAAAACGAATTAAATTTTTATGAATTTTTTAATTTTTCCTGCTAGAACCATTTTTTTAAATAAAACTTTGGAAACGTTATTTATATCTATTCGATGTACCTTTAATAAAGCACTTCAATTTTCAAAATAAAACCAGGACTCAAAGTATTATTTATATTATTTGTATATAGGATGTCCTAGAGCAATTTTGACAGAGCTCGTAGAGACATAGAACGGATTAAAACGAATAAAAGTCCTATTCTGGTTTGCGATATTCACAATAATTTGCAAAGTAATTAATTACAGAAATCTGACGAGTGAGTGCGCACCAAGATGATATGAGTATTGCAATCGCTGAGATCACAGCGCGACCCAGTCGATCTACATAATAACTACGCTGGCGCGCGGCGAGGGGAGGGGTAACGCGCCGCTATTCAGCTATGCGCTATTATTTCACCGCTTTATCGCGAATATCGCAAAACGTATAAGATTTTTTGTTCGCCTTAAACCGTTCTACGCGTTCACGAGCTCTGTCAAAATTGTTCTGAGACATCCTGTATATTAAAGCTCCTAAGTGTTTGCCGCGGCTATCTTGGTTATGACATCAAAAGTAAAAAAAAAATACATGTTCAAAATTCTTGCAAAATACCTTTAAGTAAGAAAAAAATACATTTACAAAATAATGGCTTGCAATCGATTAAACAAATTTGTAAAATAGTCCACACAAACATTTTCCTTTTATTTTAAAATCAATAAATACTATAATTTAAATATTGGGAGTACAAATTAGTTCGGTCCGTTTTTTTGTGTTAAAAAATGTATTTATTTCAAAACAAAATGAATGAACAGATCAATTAAAGTATTTTCCATTGCTGGCTACTACTTTCTCCTATTTCTCAGGCAATTTTCGAATTCCATCTCGAAAAAATGACTCGTCTTTTGAGGCGATCCAAGTTTGGAGCCAATTTTCGATTTCTGCGAAAGAAGTGAACCGGTGACCTGCCAAATCGTGCTGCATCCTTCGAAATAACCAGTAATCAGAAGGAGCAATGTCCGGAGAATACGGCGGGTGCGGTAAAACATCCCATTTGAGCGTTTCCAAATATTTTTTATGACTTTTGCGACATGAAGCCGAGCGTTGTCATGAAGAATAACTTTATCATGTCCTTGCTCGTATTCCGGCCGTTTTTCCGGCTCGTATCCAGGCCTCAACGGCTTGTTGAGTCACTCTCAATGATTCTGCAAGCTCCTCTTGCGTTTGACTCTGATCTTCTTCGAGTAATGCCTCTAATTCTTTGTCCTCGAATTTTTTTGGCTGTCCAGAGCGAGGCTTGTCTTCGACGCTGAAATCTCCGTCCTTGTAACGTCGAAACCATTCCCTACATAATTTATCAGTTGGAGCAGCGTCACCATAAATTTCAACAAGCATTCGATCGGCTTCAGCTGCACCTTTTTCTAATTAAAGCAGAAAATTAAAACCTCCCGCAAATGCTGCTTGGTTAACACAAAATTCGACATTTTCAACACTATAAAAAGCAAGGTTTTTGTATGAAACTCAAAGCGATATAAACTGAATATTATTGGCAGATGTCGAACCTCTCTGAAACCGCCAAAATCGACAGTCACTATGAACCATTCATAACAGCCGGAGCCATCTTTTGAAAACGGACCGAACTAATTTATACACCCAATAAATTACTATTAAAGTGATGTGCAATCTGTAATCACATGACATATAATAATTTTATTTAATTTTTATATTTTTTATCTTATAATATAATATTTTGCAGGAATTTTGAACGTATGTTTCTTCGCTTTTAACATCATCCGCAATAAAAATACTTAGATATCCTAATTATAAAATATAAAATAAATAACATACGCTATATATATATGTGTGTGTATGTGTGAGTGTGTATATATATGTGTGTACACACATTATTTCACAGGATGGTACTCAAATATGGAAAACTAAAGCAAGCCAAGGTGGTATCTGTGCTACTGGTTGTTTACATCCACAATCAATTTCGGTTCTTTTCGGGACATTGGACGGCACTTGTTTAGCTTTGCGACAATTTTCCGGGCTAATTATGTGGAAACATAAATTGCAAGACCCAGTCTTCGTCGCACCTGTTGTTCTTCAAAACGGATACGTTTTATTTTGCTCTGTAGCTGGAATGTTGTGTTGCTTTGATATTGAAACTGATTGTCAAGTAAGCGTAAATTCTTTTTTGCTCTCTTAGCACTACATTTTGCTGATTCCTTCCTTTTCTTCTTGTTGCAGATGTGGCGGTATGAGATATGCGGCAATGTGTTTTCGTATCCCATAATTACCCACATGTCCATAAATAACAATGAGCACGTTATTTTAGCAAGCCGCAACAAACATCTATATTGCCTCGAGATGCCGCAAATGATAATGGAAGAAAAAGAACCGAGATTAAGATATATGTTGCAATTCCATTCAGCTATCTTCGCGACTCCTTGGTGCGAAGACAAACACATGTTCGTGGCATGTACAGATGGCACATTTCAAGTGTTCGATATTTTAGAGGGTAAATTGTTCACGTCGAAGCGACTTCCCGGCGAAATTTTCTCCTCACCGGTCGTCCATGACAATTTAGCTGTCTTAGGATGCAGAGATAATAACCTTTACGTGTTAAAGCTTGGTTGAAACATATTAGTATCTGTTGAGGCTGGGTGTGAGAAGATATTAAAATTTTCGCTGAAACAGATTTTAAAGTTTTAATTGGGCAGAATCGCAAAGAACACAGATAGTACAATATTGTTTATTTCATTCGGCTCTCATGTTACAAGTATGGATAACAATAAAAGATATCCATCGCAGTTGACAAATGCATGTACCCATTTTTCACTGAATTTCCGTACGTAGTGTGAAATTGCGTGCGTCCGTCGTGGTACTCATGCGAGAGTGCAAGTAAAACATAAATCTAAATAAAATTGCTGATCTGTTTTTAACCGATGTAAAAAGAAAAAAAATCACGACAATAATTAGTCGATCGGTTTGCACATATAATTAATGCGCGCTTATTCGTCCTTCCTCTGCTCCATCCCCCTTGTTCTCCATCCTCCTTTATCTTAGGTAACAATATAATATTACGAGATACGTTCGCGCTTCCATTATGCCAAAGAAATAATCCAAATCTCATATGAAATACAATACTTCAACGATTCCATTTTTCTTGTGTGTGTATTGCGTGTGTGCGCGCGCGCACGCGTGTATGTGTACGTATATACATATACATATATTTTTTTTTGTATATTTATATGGATTTATATAATGTGTTTGCACGCGTGCGTGTATTATGCAATATACATACACACGCACATGCGCACGCGCGCGCGCGTGCACACACACACACACACGCGCACACACACACACACACACACATACACGATGTAATGCTTGGCTGCTCCGGAGATCGCCCTCATTTCAATATTTCGACCTTCGATTCTTTCTCTTTTTTTTTTCTTTTAACATTCTCTATTGACCTTGCTTCAGGCATATATGCGACTTCACTACCTCTACTTCTGTTGCGCGCACGTTGGAAATATCTAATTATGCTATTGATACAATTTTTCTGCTAAACAAAAGTTTCCTCAATATAAGGATGAGCGAATGTGTAGTAGATGAAAAAGAGATGATTACAATTATATGCGCGATATGCACATCGAAAAGCGTGTTTCATATTTGGGTGTTAATTTTTGTTTAATTTGGTATACGATCAATAACGGAAATTTATCTACCTTCACTCGCATGTTTTGCATAAAATTATATCATTGCACGATCGACCAGTATTTAATATAATTTAATAAATGCAACTTGAAGAACTTAAAGTCGATGTTCGTCCATACAAAAAGGATATAAATTTTTCCATAATTCACAGCACAGCTGGGACTTTTCGGAAATATCTGTTCTACGATCTAAATATGTTACCGGTACTAATCTAGATAAATGTGATACTCACATTGTTTCGTCTGTGTCATGAATCAATTATCAGTTTAACAATTTATTGGATTATATTATGGCATACGATGATTTGATCGTCCGCCGACTGTCCTTAATTGCGGTGTACCTGTAGATTCCTTTTTATACAATTTAATCTACCAATGTTCGAAGTTTTATCTATATTCTTGTATAATTTGATACATTAAAATATGATACATTTGCATTGTATACATATAATGTGACGGACGTTTCAATTATTTTCGTCTGTTTTTCTTTTCTCTTTTTTTCTATTATTCTTACTGGAACGTGTATCGGCAAATCAAATGTACATATGTGCAAAATATAAATTTATAAGAGGTTCTCTGACCTTAGTAATCTGATGCTATCGAAGTCGTAGAAAGAATTTGGGAATTTGTTTTTCCATATTAAATTTGGAGCTCTATGCTTCTGAATAAGACTGTCGAAGGATCCGCAGGAACAGCAGCAGGACGAGAAATTGATCGACTAAAGTAAGTGATAAAGGGAGAATTTAGACATACTTTTGCCATTATTTCACACTCTCTGTTAAAGAGAATCTACATTTATAATTAGGCACAGGTCTGCTCGTAGCGTGACTTGTTCCATGGTATCTGCCTTGAGACCCTGTCATTATCGACATGATCGGTATCCGTGCTGCGTACCGAGCGATATTTCTTACTGAATATGCGAAAATTTGCAGGGCGCATTTTCCTCTCCAATTTTCCTCTGAGACTTATGTGACAAAACTGTACGCGCGCATCCAGTTACGGTTACTGATCTTCGTCACCTAGCTCGTGCTTAACCTTATTGAAGTCGAACTCTTCGCCGGTGGCGCGCTTAAATATGTCAAGCACGTCCAAGCAAGTAGTTTCGAAGTGTGTAGTCGCATCGTAACTGGTGGAAATGAATATCTGACTATTGAGACCGTCGTCGACCGGCACCATATAGTCAGAGATACTGACGAACTTCTGTCTTATCGGGCCTAATAGGTCCAGACCAGGTTTAATCTCGGCTTCAGGATTTTTTGTCTCCACTGTAGTCGAGACCATGGCTATAAACCAGCCTTTCGCTGCAACTTGATGAGTATGTGACACAAGTGATACGTAGATGTCAGAATTGCGGCCGACCTGAGACAAAGCATAAAAATTAAATGCTATATTGCACATATATATATATATATATATAGGGTGTTTCAGAACTTTGGGACACGGGCTCCGTAGGGACATAGAGCTAAGTGAGAAGAACAAAAAAGTCCTGTACCATAATGTGAAAATCGTAATAGTTTTTTAATTATAATAGCGCAAAGTTAGGCGTTTTCCACGCCCAGCGCAGCCTATAAACGCTCCGCGGCAAGCTGTGTGCGTGGGGGCTGAGCGGTAACGCAGCTCGCGTTGACCGTCGCGCGGCGTCAAAGCGCCAAGACGCCATTGCGACAGTCAGCGCGAGACGCGTTATCGCTCAGCCCCCACGCACACAGCTTGCCGCGGAGCGTCTATAGGCCGCGATGGGCGTGGAAAACGCCAAATTTTATGCGGTTATTACTAAAAAACTATTACGATTTTCACGTTATGGTACAGGACTTTTTTGTTCTTCTCACTTAGCTCTATGTCCCTACGGAGCTTATGTCCCAAAGTTCCACTCCGTGGCAAGCTATGTGCGTAGGGGCTGAGCGATAACGCGTCTCGCGCTGACTGTCGCAATGGCGTCTTGGTGCTTTGACGCCGCGCGACGATCAGCGCGAGACGCGTTATCGCCCAGCCCCTACGCATACAGCTTGTCGCGGAGCGTCTATAAGCCGCGCTGGGCGTGGGAAACGCCAAACTTTGCGCTGTTATAATTAAAAAACTATTACGATTTTCACATTATGGTACAGGACTTTTTTGTTCCTCTCACTTAGCTCTATGTCCCTACGGAGCCCGTGTCCCAAAGTTCTGAGACACCCTGTATACAGGGTATTTAAAAGCTTATCATGCAGACGAAAGTTGGAGATAGATTGAGTGTAGCCGAGAAGAAGAGTCATATACCATAATGTCAAATTGGCAATAGTTACCGAGTTATTAATTAAAACATGTGAGCCAACGAGCGCGTAGAGAGCGGAGGGCGGCCGCAGTAAGCACGTAGACATTTGATACAAGCGGAGTCAGCGAATGACGGTAGGCGAGCGCGCGCGGCGAGGGGCAACGTAAGCGACAAGAGGCGTGCGCGCGCGACGAGGGACGAGCGAGCGCAAGCGACAAGAGGCGAGCGAGCGCGATGAGGAGCGAGCGAGCGCGAACGACGAGGAGCGAGCGAGCTTTATCTTTATAGCTTTTTCCTTATAGCTCGCTCGCTCTTCGTCGCGCTCGCTCGCCTCTTGTCGCTTGCGCTCGCTCGCTCCTCGACGTTCGCGCTCGCTCGCTCCTCGTCGCGCGCGTTCGCCTCTTGTTGTTTACGTTGCCCCTCGCCGCGCGCGCTCGCCTATCGTCACTCGCTGACTCCGCCTGTATCAAATGTCTATGTGCTTACTGCGGTCGCCCTCCGCTCTCTACGCGCTCGTTGGCTCACATGTTTTAATTAATAACTCGATAACTATTGCCAATTTGACATTATGGTACATGACTTTTCTTCTCGGCTACATCCAATCTATCTCCAACTTTCGTCTGCATGATCAGCTATCAAACACCCTGTATATATATATACAGGGTGGTTGATTATAAGTTGCCAACCCGAAATGTGAAGGTAGATTGGGTTAAGATAAACATAAAAGTCCCATACCATTTTGCGAGATTCGCAATAATTATCGAGTTATTAATGACAGAAATCTGAGGAATGGGAGCGCGTCAACATAGATAGTTGGAGAAGCGTTGCAGCTGCTTAGGCCGCAGCGCGGCCCAGTTGATCCAGAAACTGATGCCGGTGTGCGGCGAGGGGAAAGATAATGCGCTGCTATTCGTTGTTTTATCTCGCCGGACCTACGTCTCACCGCACGCCGCCAACAGTTGCTAGGTCGAGTGGGCCGCGCTGTAGCCTGAGTAGCTGCAACGCTTCTCCAATCATCTATGTCGGCGCGTTCCCATTCCTCAGATTTCTGTCATTAATAACTCGATAATTATTGCGAATCTCGCAAAACGGTATGGGACTTTTATATTTATCTTAACCCAATCTACCTTCACATTTCGGGTTGGCAAATTATAATCTACCACCCTGTATATTGGGTCTGGGAAAAAGTTCGTGGCGTTTTTTTAGTAAAATTCAACTGGTTTTCTTATAGTGTGAAAATGAATTTATTTAAACCAAATATGCTCCATTATTATCGACAATGTTTCGCCACTTTTCGGGTAAAGCCATGATGCTATCGGTGAAGAACTTCTGTAGTTTCTGGTTGAAAAGCTGTATCAAGTGGTTTTCACAGGCTTCTTTTGAAACCAGCTTAATTCCATTGAGAGAGTTCTGCAGAGATCAGAACAAGTGATAGTCAGAGGGTGCTATGTCTGGACTATACGGTGGATGTATCAAAATTTCCCAACCAAGCTCTCGCAGTTTTTGACGGGTCATAAAAGAAGTGTGTGGTCGGGCGTTGTCATGATGGAAGACAACACCTTTCCTATTATTCAATTCGGGCCGTTTTCTTTCAATTGTCTGGCGTAATCTCTCTAGTTGTCCACAGTAGAGTTGAGAATCAATTGTCTGACCAACTGGAAGTAGCTCATGGTGGACGATTCCCTTCCAGTCCCACCACATACACAGCATGACCTTTTTCGGCGTCAATCCTGGCTTCGCGAAGCTTCGCTTGTGATGGCTCACCATCCCTTATCTACGATCTTTTACGCTTCCGATTGTCGTACGTGATCCATTTTTCATCACCGGTTATGACACGTTTCAGAAATGGTTCGATTTCATTGCGTTTCAGCAGCGCATCGTAGATGTTAATTCGGTCTATCATGTTTTTCGCGCTCGACTCATGAGGAACCCATACATCGAGCTTCTTTTTGTAGCCAGCTTTGTGTAAATGGTTCAAAACAGTTTTGTGGTCAATGCCTAGCTCCATACCAATATCGACACTGATATGCTTATCTTGCTGGACTTTTTCAAGAATTTCATCAGCTTTTTCATTGATTGGATGACCAGAGCGTGACTCACTCACCTTTCACATCAAAATTACCAGAACGAAAGCGAGCGAACCATTTCCGCGCAGCAGATTTTGATAAAGTACCTTCACCGTACACAGCACAAATTTTCTCACAAGCCTGCGCAGCGTTCTTCCCTTTGTCGTAATAATATTGCAAAATATAGCGCAATTTTTCATTACCTTTCTCCATTTTCAAACGCAAACAACTTTCCAACCACTGCACCAATTTCGATGTTTATACACTCAAAGCAATGCTCGAAGTGTCACCTTTCCAACGAGTGTTTAGTGGTGTCGCTGCGATCTGTTTCCTGAGTTATTTGCAATTGACGTCATCTATCGGGAAAAACGCTACGAATTTTTTCCCAGACCCAATAAATATATAATCACACAGACTCTGATTTTTTAAATATTTTGTCCACAGTCATTCCTACTGAATTTATGTGAAACACTTTGTACATTCTCAATCTTGGTCTGTAATAAACGGATTCGATCATCGGTGGTAAACAGAATGAAAATCGATGAGTAAATCCGTTAGATATGAGTGCTTGTAGTTCCTTGCCTCGAAACATTTTGAATTGGTTTTAGCACGGAAATTAATGATTTTTAAATAAAAATTTCGAATAAAAGTGACTTCGACCTAAAACCCACTAATGTTAAAATTTTGTGGGTGTGTCATTTAAAAAAACGAAGTTGGTGCCTCCCACGCCGCAAAGGGGTAATTGCGAAAAATGAAAACAAGTCCACGTGAAAGGGCATATATCGAGTCGAAAAAACTGAATCTAAAAACATTAAAATCCATCTGGTCGTTTTAGAGATATTGAGCTGTTTTGGTCCACCCTGTATATATATCAATATTAATATCGTAAGATTTAATAGAATGCAATGCTATAATAGTCACAAGTAACTGGTAATTATAATATTAATATCAGGTGTAGTAAAAAGAAATCCATTATTTTTCCAATAGATGGCTTTAGTTATCTGTATCTCGCGTTGTATAAGTCCGATCGGGTTCCACTAGATGGTGTTAGAAAGATGAGATTTCGTACTAAAAAAACTTTTCTAACAGTTTTGTGATTAGTTGACTCAGTTTTGTTTGAGCGCGCGTCAAAGATGGACACTAGCAAAGAGAAAATACGCTATATTTTACAGTTTTTTCTTCGATAAAGGCGAAAACGCAAGCCAGGCAGCTGAAAATGTGAATAGTGTTTATGGTCCTGATACTGTAACAGCCAATCACGCGCAATTTTGGTTTCGTCGATTCCGTTCCAGTAATTTCGATGTCAAAGATGCACCACGCACTGGAAGGCCAATTGTCGAAAATATCGATAAAATCATGGACATTGTCGAGTCCGACCGTCATGTAAGCACTGCTTCGATTGCCCAAGAGCTAAAAATTGCACAAAAAACCGTTTGGAACCATTTGAATAAGGCTGGATACAAAAAGAAGCTCGATGTATAGGTGCCACACAAGTTAACGAAAAAAAACCTCATGGACCGAATTTCCATCTGCGAATCGCTGCTGAATCGCAACAAAATCGACTCATTTCTGAAGCGGTTGGTCACTGGTGATGAAAAATGGATCACTTACGACAACGTCAAGCGAAAACGGTCGTGGTCGAATCGCGGTGAGCCGGCGGAAACGGTGGCCAAGCCAGGATTGACGGCTAGGAAGGTTTTGCTGTGTGTTTGGTGGGATTGGCAGGGAATTATCTACTATGAGCTGCTCCCCTACGGCAAAAACTCTTAACTCGGAACTGTACTGTCAACAATTGGACCGTCTGAAGGAAGCAATCGCCCAGAAGCGGCCAGCTTTGGCCAATAGGAGAGGAATTGTGTTCCATCAGGACAACGCCAGGCCACACATCGATAGTGACTCGCTAGAAGCTCCGGGAGCTTGGTTGGGAGGTTCTTATGCATCCACCTTATAATCCGGACCTGGCACCAAGTGATTACCATCTGTTCCTGTCCATGGCAAACAATTTTGCTGGTGAAAAATTCGCTTCAAGAGAGGCTTGTGAAAATCGACTGTCTCAATTTTTTGCCAATAGGGACGAGGGCTTCTATGAGAGAGGCATAATGAAATTACCTTCAAAATGGCAACAAGTTATCGAACAAAGCGACGCATATTTGACCTAAATCGAATCATTCTAACTATGGTAATTAAAGCCTTCAATTTCATGCAAAAATAATGGATTTCTTTTTACTACACCTGATATATCTCATTAAGTAATATATAAAGTATAATTAGTTACATATCAATAGAATCACTAATATAATAACCAATTACATTTGAAAAATTATTTATACGATTAACAAAGAGTCAATGAGACGAGAGATAAGCAGGGTTGGGAAGTAACGCATTACTTGTAACGCCGTTATTGATATCGTTACTTTTTTGAGTAACGATTAGGTAACGCCGTTACTTTTTTGTGTCAATAACGAAAGAGTAATGGCGATACATTTTTTTTTAATCCATTATTTTAATCGTCACTTTTTAATTTTTATAAAATTAAACTTAATTGTATTTCATTTCTATGTATTTCTTGTTTTATGCTGAATTTAGTGAAAACCAATAAAGATGGACTCACATATTTGTGTCAACTATTGGCCGTAGCTATACAGAAAGGTTTAAAAGAAAGGTAAGTTGGTGTAATTTGATTAACATATATGTTCATCAAACAACATTCATCTGATCAAAAAGAAAAATCAATATGTTCATATTTAATTTTATTGATTTAACTTTAGGTTTTGTACTACATTCGAAAAAGAAGGATTGATAATTGCCAGCTGTTTGCATCTCAAATTCAAATCAGAGTTGGCTAGCAGGAGATAAGTGAAAACTTGCGCAAACATATTTAGAACATTTATTAGGAATTCTTTCAGCTGAAATTTTTTTGATGTCTGATAAGCACGATGATAACGATGACTTTTTATCTCAAACAGCAAACATCAAATGAGGAATCTACCTATGATGAATGGCAAAGATTTTTTAAGTCAACAGGCACTAATATCCAAATATTAAATTCATATCCACTAATTAAGAAACTTTTCATTAAGTACAACACTTAATAATATAAAATTATAAAAATATTTAAATATATATATATATATTTCTAATCATCTTATGTCCGATTTATATCTCGTCTTAGCATCTTTCTTATAATCCTGGATTTACAACAAGAAAAAGTAACGAAAAGTAACGAAGTAAAATATCATTACTTTCAAGTAACGGTAACGCATTATTTTTTAAGACCAGTAACGAGTAACGGTAACGAGTTACTTTTAAAAAGTAACTTTCCCAACCTTGGAGATAAGATACATGCATCTCGAATTACATTTATCACATTTTCGTTAAATTTAGTCATGAGATAAGCTTTTATATTATCAATGGAAAGAAATACAGCAATTTAGAAGAGTTTAATTCTGAAGAGTAGAAATTTTCCAAGTCCATTTATACATCTTGAAGTTTAATCAGAAGGAAAATACATATATTATCAATACCTGTTTTTGAGGAATGATGATTTGCGTAGACAACGCATCGGCTGTATTCGGTATTGGATGATCCATAAGGCATATGCACCTTATTACCTGACCAACTTTTTTTATACGATCAGGTACGTATGTAGGGTCACAAAAGACTTGTTTGCATTGAGCTACTTCATCACCGGAACGAACACCAACCACCTGCACAAAATGTCAACCAACTTTAATAATTGAAAAACTTACGATCAATCTTTTCAAGGATATTGACATATACAGGGTAAGTCAAAAAGATGGATACTCCTGAATATCTCAGAGAGGTTACATTTTTTAAAGAAACTTTATAAACGAAAGTTGTAGGGTTTCAAGAGGTCTATCTATTAGCCTTATCAGTTTGACTTTGAATGACATTGCCAAGATCAAGTCAAGATCAACTTAATTTTTTTAAATGGAAATCCCCATTTTTTATTATCAACATTTTTTTCTATCAACTAATTTGAACAACTTTTGTCTAGAACATTTTTTTATTTGCCTAATATTTTTTGAAGTATTTAAAGACAACTTGGTTACTTTTTCAATATTTAAACTCTGGTATCAAGAATATATTATTACGATAGCATCCTAACTTTTATTAATTTGATGATTTTAAAGTTTCCAAAGGTTGATAAGTTAACAAAAGGTAGGGCATGATTGTAACAATATATTCTTGAAACCAAATATAGTAAAAAAGTTTAGTTATTTTTTCTTCCGATAAATAGTGAAATATCGTAAGTTAAATATTGAAAAAGTTTTCTTTAAATACCTCAAAAAAATATTTGATAAATAAAATAATGTTTCAGATCAAAAAGTTGTTAAAATTAATTGATAAAAAAGATGATATAATAAAAAATGGGGGTTTCTATTTAAAAAAATTAAATTAACCTTGATCTGACTTTGGCAACGCAACTCAAGGTCAAATTGATAAGGCTAATAGATAGACCTCTTGAAACCCTACAACTTAACCCCTTTTGTATATAACATTTTTTTCAAAAACGTAATCCCTCTGAGATATTCAGGGGTACCCATCTTTTTGACTCATCCTGTACATGTACGTTTAGATGTTTAATTTTATATTCTTAATTCTAACTTTATCGACAAAATATAACAAATGTTATAGCAAGTTCATTATAAGATCCATAAGAAAGAAATTTTGTTATATATAACTAATAAATGTCACATTTGTCACTTGAAAATTAAATAATTTTCTCCTGATGTGAATAAATTTATTTATTCTTGAAGAGGCTAAATACGGAGATAGCGAACACCGCACATTCACCTTGCTATCCTTTATGACAATCTCATCAATCGGTTTGTCTAACATATATGTGCCACCATAAATAGCGCTAAGTCGTGCGAATCCTTGAGGAAGCTCGCCTAGACCGTACATCGGATAAAGATACGGCGACTTTCCGTATCGCGCTAAACTGTCGCTGTACAGTTTGATCCTCCTGATAGTGATAATCGCAGTTTGACTGATGTAATCGTCATCCCTGATTAAAAAGCAAACATTATAATAGTTTTACAAGCGAACGTTAATCTTTAGAGGACCAGAGTGACTCCTATAGGAGCCATTATAGTTTGTATAAGTTTGTAACAGTTTGTATAAGTTTATAACACATAAGGTGTCGAGTTTATAACAAACTCGAAATCTGTATGCGACATGATGGTTACATATATAGGGTGCGGCAAAAGTATCGGACCGGTGAAATATCTCGAAAACAAGACATTTTAAAACAAAATGTTTCATACAAAAATTATAAGGTTTTAAAAAATGCATCAAACGCCAATATTTATTTGACGTTATATATATATATATATATAATATATATATATATATATATTATATATATTATATATATTGACAGAGTGTCCCATTTTAATGTCCCACCCCAAATAACTCTTCAGTATTGAAGTTTCAAGGAAAATGACTTGAATAAAAGTTGTAGGGATTTAAGTGAGCTACCTTATGATGATCTTGACCTCTATTTTCAAGGTTATTTGAAGGTGAACTTGCGTTTTTTTAAATGGGAACCCTTATTTTTTATTACACTGTTTTTTCTACTAGTTAATTTCAACAACTTTTGTCTAAAACATATTTTGATAAAAATGCCGAATAGGGAACCCCGCTCCTATGATCTTGACCTTGACATATGTTGTCAAGAACACCTTCCTGAATAACGTGCAAAAGGTTTTACCCGTCGCTCGTTGTTTGTTAAAAAGTTATTAGCTTCTATTCTTGAAGAGGCTAAAACTTTAAAAAAAGTTTGGTTTATACGTAAGTTGCAAGTGCATTTAACACAGCGTGCTACGCGCCCCCCCCGCCCCTACCCCATCCCCCGCCCTCCCCCATCCCTCTCCTCTGTGCTAAACGCACTTGCAACTTACTACTTTATCTCTATGAGAAAAAGTTAGAAATGAAAATGGAAATAAAGTTAGATTAGATTACGTTATATTGTAGTTCGACCTGTTCCCGTTCGTGTTGTAAACGAATTCGTAAATATTTGTTTTGAAACGTCTAAAGGTTGTCGCTATTGTTCTTAGCATTTGGATAATATAACTCGTTCAGTTACTGGAATGTTGTCTTCATACAGTGAGCATTGTATAACGAATACTTCCAAAATGCGTTTATACGAGTTTATTAATATTACATGCAATTTTGACTCCATGTGGAATTACTTATGTGAAAAGAAAGTTGTTCGCAGTAGAATATTGTGTCCTAAGTGTAAAAACGAATTGAAATTACCGAATAATGCAAAAAATCGTATTTTTCACTGTACTCATAAATATTATAAAGTTCGTGCACAACGTAACATAACTTAATCTAACCTTATTTTCATTTCTAACTTTTTCCCATAAAGATAAAATCGTAAGATACAAGTGCATTTAGCAGGGGGGAGTGATGGGGGAGGGGCAGGGGAGGGTAGGGGACGGGGTAAGGGTGGGGGGCGCGCGTCGTGCTAAACGTACTTCCAACTTGTGCGTTTATGAAAATTTTTAGCAATAACTTTTTAACAAACAACGAGCGACGGCTAAAATTTTTTGCACGTTACTCAGGAAGGTGTCCTTGACAATATATGTTAAGGTCAAGGTCATAGGAGCGGGGTCCCCTATTCATTTTTACCCAATTTTTTATTTGTTTAATATTTTTTGAGATATTTGAGGAAAACTTGATAACTTCTTCAATATTTAACTTACGATATCTCGCTAACTATTTGTCGGAAGAAAAAGTAGTACTAGACTTTCTTGCTTTATTTAGTCTCAAGAATATATTGTTACAATAGTGCCTTGACTTTTGTTAACTTATTGATTTGTGGAAATTTCAAAATCATCAAATTAACAAAAATCAGGGCGCTATTGTAACAATATATTCTTGAGACTAAATAAAGTAATAAAGTCTAGTACCACTTTTTCTTCCGACAAACAGTTAGCGAGATATTGTAAGTTAAGTATTGAAAAAGTTATCAAGTTTTCCTCAAATATCTCAAAAAATATTAGACAAATAAAAAAACATTTTAGACAAAAGTTGCTCAAATTAATTAGTAGAAAAAACTGTGTAATAAAAAATAGGGGTCTGCGAATAAAAACGCAAGTTAACCTTCAAATGACATTGAAAATAGAGGTTAAGGTCAAAGTAAAAGTCATCATAAGGTAGCTTACTTAAATTCCTACAACTTTTATTCAGATCATTTTCCTTGAAACTTCAATACTGAAGAGTTATTTAGGGTGGGACATTAAAATAGGATACCCTGTATACAGGGCAGAAATACCGGACCGGTGAAATATCTCTAAAACAAGATATTTTAGACGAAATAATTGCTACGTTGTCGGAAAGAGAATGCATTTATTTGTTGATAATTGACAATTTGAACATCTCATATAATTATTATCAAAAACATGCACCCGCGCGCGCGCACACAACACACACTAAGCTACCTCCATGCGGTACACCTTGGATAATGCCATGCTAATGCCGACGGTACTTGAACTTCATCAACTTATATCTCGAAAAATATTTAACGAAAAATAGATTTTTGTTTTGACGTTCTTTTTCTAGTGTTTTGAAAAGCTCTCGAGATAAGCTACAAGAATATACGATGAAAAATTGGGCGTTCTATTTAAAAAATTCAACTTAAGTTTGAGAGCCCCTCCAAGCTTATGCTTAATGTCAAATAAATATCGGCCTTTGATGTAGTTTTTAAAACTCTACAACTTTTGTATGAAACATTTTGTTCTAAAATGTCTTGTTTTCGAGATATTTCACCGCTCCGGTATTTTTGCCGCACCCTGTATATATAAATTTTCTGCGAAGAAAATTGCAAATTTTAAAGGAAAAATGCCGGTTCTCTAAAGGTTAATACATGCCATGATAGTAATCAATGACCGGCTCTAAGCTTTTTATTTACGTCTCGTCAATCACCGTTGATCATCGTACGAGGAATGTTATGTGTCTAACACACAATTATTTATATTTAAGAAATTATAATTATATTTGGTAATATATTAATATATAATATATAATATATTAATATATTATATATTAACCCTTTGCACTCGGATGTCCCTTTTAAGAAGACACAAAGAGATTACTTGTAATTATATAGGACAAAATTATGTAAGCGTAAAATTGTTCAAAAATACATAATTCCTTAAAGTTTTCTATTTGCATTACATAAAAAACAAATAAAGAAATGGAAAATATGCCCAGATATAAAAAATATCAATGGTACGTAAGCCTTCACAATGATGACAGCACTTTTTTGTAATAAGAGATAGAGATAAAAAGTGATCTTATATGAAGGGCAGTTTTCTGTAGACTATATTATGTGTTCAAATAGAAAAATTTCAAGTGAAAGATGGCAAATTACAAATTGGATTATTTGTCCTAACGAACTTACATTGCACATCGGTAATTGTTTCAAATGTTATACTTTAGAAAAATACAAGATGTAAAAGTTTGATTTTTTGCTTGTAAGTTCAATAAAATTGAATAACAAATATAATTTAAATAAAATAATTTGTTCTAAAGTTATACCACTTAATTTGAAACAATTCATTTTCCACTATTTCGTAAGAAAATGCAGTCGAGTTGCTGATAAGTGATCCGAGACAAGTCTCCAAATGTAAAGGGTTAATATATAATATATTATATAATATACGAGTATTATATATTAATATAATAAGAATATAATTGTTTAATAATAAAAAATGCAAGAGTCAAAATGCATTAGTAAAATTACTTATTTATTAACAAATTAATATTTTTATTTATTAAAATTTTCAAAACAATTATATATAGTGAATCTTGTTAAAACAAGTATGAATGAAAAATCTGTTAAAATACGCTTGGTAGTAAATATGTTAATGCAAAACAGATTTTACAAACTTAAATTATTCCTACAAATTACTTTTCAATATGATATGAGGAGACGTTTCTTTCGTACCAATCGAATTCTTTCGTACTATAGAATTTTTTGGTACCAATAGTGAGAAAATATATGCTTGAAATTGTTGCAAAGTACGTTGAATCGAAAAAAATATATTCATGAAATAAGGCTTACGTTTGACTCACAAGGAACATCCGCGAAGTGTGTCTCCGATTATGACGAAATTTGGCATATTTGTAGAATATGCCAAAAATAAAAGATCCATATTTTTTTATCGGCAATGATGCGTAAAACTACCCCTCAAAGTTTCACCCCCTTTTTATTATCTCGATAACTATTGCAGATAAAAAAACACTTTAAACAAAAGTTGTACGGTTTTTCATAAAAAATAAAATAGGCTTGGTTAAAATAAAAAAATATTTTAAATAATTATAATAACAAAATGATCATATCAGTCTTAATTATGTAATTTATCAAATTCGTTATATGGAGGAAAAAGAAAGCATTGTTCATTCTGAATCCATCTATATATAATGTTTTATATTTAACTTATACGGTCATTGCAATTTTATAAGTAGAAGTGATACCAGAAGCAAGGTGCTCGGTAACATGTGTGAGCGCTTAATTGCTACATCACTACGCAAATGACGAATATCTATGGAACATAGCTTTTGAACGTATTTTAATTTATACAATATAAAATAATTCAGAAATTATTAACATACTACAAACTATTAATATATTACATAAACGCGAGCCGCCGAACATTTTTTTTATCTGTAACGTATAATGTAACATATTCCACATCACATGATTTTTAAGTATGTTTAATATAATAGACAAGAAAAGTATGCATGTGAGTTTATACTGACATACTATATACGAGGGCGGTCCGATAAGTACTTAGCCTCACCGTCCGATGGCGCCACTATCACAAGAGAAATTTACTATCGTGTAGTACATTCTCATAGACGGCTACTGTCGAAATTTCAGCCGAATCGGACTCGTAGTTTTGTTTTGACCGCGTGTGGAAGCGGGCGTATCAGCGGATTTTAGAAAAATGGAAAAAGAGCAATATCGGTCGGTGATTCGATTCTTGTTTTTGGAAGGGAAATCGCGCAGCAAAATCAAAGAGCGCTTGGATGCTGTGTACGGTGACTCTTCTCCTTCGATGGCGACCGTCAAAAATTGGTTTAACGAGTTTCAACGTGGTCGCACGTCGGTTTTTGATGAGCCACGCCCAGGTGCCCCGAAAACGGCTACCACGGAGAATAACATAACAAAAATCCACGATCTTGTATTGGCAGACCGCCGATTGAAGGTGCGCGAGATAGCTGAGACAGTAGGCATATCAAAAGACCGCGTGGGTCATATCCTGCATGAAATTTTGGGCATGAGAAAGCTGTCGGCGCGATGGGTGCCGCATTTGCTCACTCCGGACAACAAGCGCAACCGTGAGACCACTTCAGAGCAGTGTTTGACGCTGTTTAAGCGCAATCCGAAGGAGTTTCTGCGTCGTTTCGTGACCGTCGACGAAACATGGATCCACTGGTACACACCAGAGACCAAGGAACAGTCGAAACAGTGGACTTCACCCGGCGAACGTGCTCCGAAGAAGGCGAAGACTGTCCTATCGGCCGGAAAGGTGATGGCCACCGTTTTCTGGGATTCACAAGGTGTGATCTACATCGACTACCTGGAGAAGGGCAAAACGGTCACAGGGCTGTACTATGCCGAATTATTGGACCGATTCGACGCCGAATTGCAGAAAAAACGGCCCCATTTGGCGAAGAAAAAAGTGCTCTTCCACCATGACAACGCACCGGCTCACACCTCCGCCCTCGCCACGGTCAAATTGGTCGAATTGGGCTACGAACTGCTGCCCCATCCACGTATTCTCCAGATTTGGCCCCGTGCGACTTCTTTTTGTTTCCAAACTTGAAAAAGTCACTCGCCGGGCAGAAATTTGAGTCGAATGAGGTCATCGCCGCCACGGAGGCCTACTTTGCAAACCTCGAGAAAACGTATTTTTCAGACGGGTTAAAGAAGTTGGAGCATCGCTGGGTCAAGTGTATCGAGCTAAAAGGAGACTATGTTGAGAAATAAATCGCCACTTTTCCAAAATTTTCGTTTTTCTTTTGTAGGCTAAGTACTTATCGGACCACCCTCGTATATAGGGTGTCACAGAACTGCCGGATTTCCTCTTAGGGGGTGAAAGGGGATGCAATTTGGAACTGAAAGTTCCTGTATCACTTTAGGAGCAGAACATTAGTTTATGAGTTATTAATTATTGAATCTGGCCAATCAGATTATTCGGCGGACGGGCACACAGTAGTGTAGGATTCAAATTTTAATTTCAATCTATCAAACTGAAAATTTTCAAATTCAGAGAGTTGGAAAGAGAAGGATGGCGCGGTGGAGGAGGGGGGCAGGAGGAGGAGGGGAGAGAAAAAAGGGGCGGCATAAGTATAAGATCTATTGAGATATAAAAAGCGAAAAACAGTTTTCCAGGCATTGTGTGGATCTTACATTTATATCGCATCTTCTTTCTCTCCCCTCTTCCTGCCCACCACCTCTTCCGCGTTCATCCTTCTCTTTCTTCCTCTTTGAATTTGAAAATTTTCAGTTTAATAAATTAAAATTAAAATTTGCTTCTCACTTCACTGTGTGCCTGCTCGCCGAATAATCTGATTAGTCAGATTCATTAGTTAATAACTTATAAACTAATGTTCTGATCTAAAAGTGGTAGAGGAACTTTCAGTTCCAAATTGCACTCCTTTCACCCCCTAAGAGGAAATCCGGCAGTTCTGGGACACCCTATATATATATATATATATACATATATATATATATATATATATATATATATATATATATATATATATACAGGGTGTCCGGAATGTGATCATTAATATTTTGTGTACTGGTGGAACTCGTTAAAACAATTAAAAAAGTCCTGTGCCATTTTACAATTTTTTCAATATTTATTCCGTAATTAATTAAAATGTGTAAACGAATGAGCGCACGAGAATACGACAGGACTGACTCTGTGTATAAGAAGATGGCTTACCTCGCACGGCGAGAGACAACCGTAAGCGACAACAGGCGTGTGCGCGCGACGAGGAACGAGCGAGCGCGAACGATGAGCGAGCGAGCGCAAGCGACAAGAGGCGGCCGCCCAGCGCTCTCTACGCTCTCATTGGCTCACATGTTTCAATTAATAACTCGATAACTATTGCCAATTTGACATTATGGTACATGACTTTTCTTCTCGGCTACACCCAATCTACCAGTACACAAAATATTAATGATCACATTCCGAACACCCTGTATGTATATATATATATATACATATATATAAGGGTGATCCATTTTAATGTATCACCTCCAAAAACATTTCTGTTTTGATTGTAGAAAAAAATGCTTCAGACAAAAGTTATTTGGTTTAATGGGGGACATATGATCACGACGTAAGTCGTGTCGCAGGTGTAATCGTTTTCAAGAAAATTTAAAAGTGTCTAATTTCTTAAATAGAACTTGACTTTTTCTTTAGATAAAAGTTGTAGATCTCGTCGAGACATTTAAAAACACTACCCATAATTAACTCTTGCATAAGCCGTTCCAGAGATATGAAACTTCAAAGTTTGCAATGCCCAGACTGACTTCACCTGTATTGTTCGTGCAAAAAGATTTAATGGTTATGCTATATTTTTACTTCTCAAAATTTCTATCCACTACCCTTTTACTTTTAGCGCTACCCAGGAATAACGGCGTGGACGTAGGAAATTTCTATTCCCTTTGGGATGCTTGATTTACGTAAGTCCCCTTGCCACTTACGTCTACACAATTTCTTATCGCAAATGTTTAAACACACCTCCATTTTGATCGATACATTGTGTCACGCGTAATCGAAAATTATTTTCGATTCTTTGCAATGTACTGTCAGTGATATCTCGGAAAACGCGTTCATTTTATAATTTCATGTCTGCGATAGTTGTAGCTTGCGTTGCGTACACTTTTTCTTTGACATAACTCGGAAAACAAGAAAAAGTCCATAGGCGTGAGATCGGGAGATCTTGGTGGCCACTTTTGGGTTTGACTACCTATTCCACAATCCATCTTCTATGGAATTTTTCGTTGAAGTATGTCACGATCAAGCGACTCCTATGGGCAGAAGCACCATCTTGCTACAACCACATCCTACAACGTATGGAGATTTACATCTTCGAGGAGGTTTGGCAATTCGTTTTGCAGGGATTGCAAGTTTCCCTATTTAAATGACCTTCGAAATAGTGAGGTCCAATTACATGGGTTCCGATAATGCCACCCCAAATATTGATTGACCATTGATGCTGGTGCTCCACGCTCCGCTACCATTGTGGATTGTTATTATACCAATAATGATGGTTGTGTCGGTTCAGTCCTCTGTTATTAAATATTGCTTCATCTATAAGCAGAATGTGCGTAAAGAAAGATAGACTCGTCCGATATTGATTTCTAGCCCAGTTGCAAAATTGAAGCCTATGGTTAAAGTCTCCAGCTTGGAGCTGCTGCGTCAAAGTAATGTAGTAGGGGTGGAATTTCTCAAATTTCAATATTTGACTTACCGTGCTTTGTGGGAGACCATGCTCGTTTTGAATCATCCTTGTCGAGATGTGGGGATTTTGTTCTACTGCTGCCAACGTCACCAGAATCTTATTTTCTTGTGGGCCAGTCTTCTTCCTGTTACGTTTTAAATGATCCTGTTAAGCCCGATGAAATAATGCTTTCATAGTCCTGCGCGTTGGGTGTCGTCTGTCGGGATACCTCGCGGCATATATCCTTTCCGCTGTTTTCATATTGTCATTGCATAACCCGACCATTTTGATCATGTCGACTATTTTCTCTGGATTGTAATCCACCATAATTAGTAATATAATGAATAATTGAAGCATTAAGCTATAAAATTTTTGCTAAAGTGCTTGTGAATCTTGTACGAATTCGTAGTATGTACTAATCGTAGTAATAGTTCCGAAATAATGTGTCCTTAAATCCAAATAGAAATACAAATCCGAAATAATTTTACTAGTTGTCGAGTATTTGCATTTAAGAACACATTATTTCGGAAATATTACTACGATTAGTACATACTACAAATTCGTATAACATTCACAAGCACTTTAACAAAAATTTTATAGTTCAGTGCTTCGATTACTCATTATATTACTAATTATGACGGATTACAATCCAGAGAAAATAGTCGACATGATCAAAATAGTCGGGTTGTGCAATAACAATATGAAAGCAGCGGAAAGGATATATGCCGCAAGATATCCCGACAGACGATACCCAACGCGCAGGTTGGGCAGCCCGATGAAACAATGTTTTCATAGTAATATGAAAGCATTGTTTCATCGGGCTCAACAGAGTCATTTGGATCAAAACGTAACAGGAAGAAGACTGGTCCACAAGAAAATAAGATTCTGGTGACGCTGGCAGCAGTAGAACAAAATCTCTACATCTCGACAAGGATGATTCAAAACGAGCATGGTATCCCACAAAGCACGGTAAGTAGAATATTGAAATTTGAGAAATTCCACCCCTACCACATTACTATGACACAACAGCTCCAAGTTGGAGACTTTAACCGTAGGCTTCAATTTTGTAACTGGGCTATAGAAATTAATATCGGCGGATCCATCTTCTTTACGCACGTTCTGTTTACAGATGAAGCAACATTTAACAACAGAGGACTGAACCGACACATCTGTCATTATTGGTCTAATAACAATTCACAATGGCAGCGGAGCGTGGAGCACCAACATCAGTGGTCAATTAATGTTTGGAGTGGTATTATCGGAACCCATGTAATTGGACCTCTCTATTTCGAAGGTCATTTAAATAGGGAAACTTACCTGCAATTCTTGCAAAACGAATTGCCAAATCTCTTCGAAGATGTAAATTTCCACATATGTCATAGGACGTGGTGGCAGCAAGATGGTGCTTCTGTCCATAGAAGTCGCTTGACCGTCATATACGTCAACGAAAAATTCCATAGAAGGTGGATTGGAATAGGTAGTCAAACCCAAAAGTAGCCATCAAGATCTCCTGATCTCACACTTATGGACTTTTTCCTGTTATTCGGGTTTTCCTGTTTTCCGGATTATGTCAAAGAAAAAGTGTACGCAACACAACCTACAAATATCGCAGACATAAAATTACGAATTAAACGCGCTTTCCGAGATATCGCTAACGGTACATTGCAGAGAATCGAAAATAATTTTCGATTACGCGTGACACAATGTATCGATCAAAATGGAGGTATGTTTGATCATTTGCAATAAGAAATTGCATAGATGTAAGAGGCAAGGGGACTCACATAAATCAAGTACCCCAAAGGGAACAGAAACCTACGTCCACGCCGTTGTTCCTGGGTAGCACTAAAAATAAAAGGGTAGTGGATAGATATTTAGAGTAGCAAGAGTTTAGCACAACCATTAAATCTTTTTGCACGAACAATACAGGTGGAGTCAGTCTGGGCTTTGTAAACTTTGAAGTTTTATATCTCTGGAACGGCTTAAGCAAAAAACAATTATGGGCAGTATTTTTAAATGTCTCGATGAGATCTACAACTTTTATCTCAAGAAAAAATCAAGTTCCATTTAAGAAATTAGTCACCTTCAAATTTTGTTGAAAACGATTACACTTACGTCATGATCATATGTCCCCTTTCAAACCAAACAACTTTTGTCTGAAGTATTTTTTCTACAATCAAAAACAGAAATGTTTTTGGAGGTGGTACATTAAAATGGGTCACCCTGTATAGAGACATTACAATTTTAAATATTTATCAATGTCCAGGTATCATTCTTATTCTACAATGAATACAGTGTCTTTCACACACTGTACTGTATAATATACAATAAATTATCTTTCTATATTCTATATTCAATAAATTCTTGTTTATAAATATTTACCGGCATATCTTATCGTGAAATACTAATGTTTGACAAAAAACGTCTTATTTCAGAGTATTTATGTCGTTACGTATGTGCAGTGTTATCGCACAGATATTTCAAAAAAGTCTTAATAAAAAAAATATTATGTTATTAAACTAAAAGATCAAAAATATTAAACCATCATAAAAAATTATTTTGCACAGTAATTGATATCGCTCGTACTATAATTGCATAAATCAATAAGTGGAAATCGTTTTCGATTAAATCGTGCTTATAAAAATAACTGTTCATTGCATCATCTTTTTTCATTAATATCTCAAAATTTCATAGAATTGTTAGCAAAATATATGCATTCAAGAGTGTCAATTGTAGATACATTTAAAAACAAAAATTTCTCTATCATTTTGCAAACAATCAGATGAAGTTCTGAGATATTAGTAAAGAAAATTAGGCATATTAATGCTTGTAAAATCAGCTTTATAAGCACGATTTAATTAAAAATGGCTTCGACTTTCTCGCTGATAAACTTATCGTTCAGCGATATCAATCTCTTTGTAATAAATAAAAAAAAGTTTCAAAATTTTATTAAATACTCATGGTATCGGGCGGGTACATTGAAAATAAATCAAATACATTTGAAAATCCGGTAGAATATTGTTCTTCGGTTGAGAATGAGCTAAAATGTAATGTTTGCGGTGATATTGCAATAATTAAATGTGCTTGGTGTAAAAGTCTTTATGCTTTAAACATTTTTTCGACGAGTATTACTACTGTCGTGATTATACAGAATAGTATCAGCATTCCTTTTCCGTTGCAGTTAATATTATTAATTTTGTTTCCAAAATTTGTTAATTTTTCATATTTGTTATGTATTTCTCCTTAAAATATGCAGATACTCATATTCATATAAAGCAACTCTTACAGAAATTTATCAATGTCTGTAATAAATTTCATTATTAAAAACTTTTTTATTTTAACCAAGCCTATTTTATGTTTTATAAAGAAACGTACAAGTTTTGTTTAAAAACTTCTTTTATCTCCAGTAGTTATCGAGATAGCAAAAAATGGGTGAAACTTTGAAGAATAGTTTCATCCCTTAAACCCGCGCCATTGCCGATAAAAAACATGCGTCTTTTTTTTTGGCTATTCCACAAATATGCTAAATTTCGTCAAAATCGGAGACAAACACTTCACGGATGTTCTTTGTCAGTAGATTTGTAAAGTATTCTAAAAATTTTCCTTGCGTTCTAATATTTAATAAGTTTTAAAATTAACCCATTAACGCGTCAAATTTGCATGTATTTATCTCTGCATTTTCGTTAACCTGGAATTGTATGAAATCCATCGAAAAAAATTATAAAAATACATGTCCGAATATTTTTATGTGCTCTTTCAAAATTCATGATTCAAAATCGATTTGACGCATATTTAACAATAAATTTTGCAATTTAAGTAAAGAAAACGAGAAATTTGTGGTACCTTTTTTTAAAAAGTCCCAATTCTCATCCTGATCCGGCAATACAGTAGGCCTAAAACCAGAGGATCGTGCTCAAACTATTTCTCCTAAAAACCTATGCAATTTATTTTGTACATTTTCAATATGGCGGGTCTAATATGGCGATCGAAAGATGGAAATATCTCGAAAATGCAGTAAATTGGGTTTTATTTTTTCCTTTCGCGACGCTGTTGCCTTCTTACACAAAATTTCGATTTGGTATGACATTCGAGTAAGTCTAGAAGATATTTGATACGAATAAATATGGCGGAAAATAAAATGGCATCCATAAAAGTCGAAAAATCCTGAAAATTGGACATTTTTAGCTATTTATACCAATTTATCAGTCATTGTTACATATAATGTATATACAGGATTTGTCATAAGTGTGGAAACCCTTAAATAATTTTTGTAAAAATGAAAATATCAAAAAACGGTAAAACACATATTTTGATTTTTCAAAAAAGCTATCCTACGACATGGATACCGATCATTCCCCACTCCCTGGTACGCGGGGGTAAAAGGGAGGTTGAAAATTTTTAATTGGACTAAGGGTCAAGTGGGGGGCTCATTTGAAAGGTCTTTTCATAACAAACACACCCTTAAAATTTTAAGTCGCTATGACTCCCCCACTAAAAATGGTGGCCGTTCAAATTTCGAAATTTCATGCACTTAGTGTTATCCAGGATCAACTACGTGGAACTGGCATGAATCTGATCCCTTGTGTGTGTGTGTGTGTGCGCGTGTGGCTAAACAAGTGTGAATGTGTTGTATGTATAGTCGTGATAGGTTGCAAAACAGACGTTTGAAAACTGTCATCTCTCTTTAATGATTCAAAACCTTTTACTCCGTGTTTTAAAATAAATTTTACTCAGTGTGTTAAAGTAAATGCTGAAAGTGGCTGCCATTTACTTCCTGACAATATGCCAGTCTTTGATAGAATGCAGAAATGGCTCTATGATTCGTCTCAAAAAGTAGCAAATCTATTTCATCCCTTATTCGCTGTATCAATTCTTGGATGCTTTCAGATTTTGTTTTGTAAACCTTACTCTTCAGGTGTCCCCATAGATAATAATCAAGAGGAGTTAGATCTGGTGACCGAGGTGGCCAATCCTCTCCTCCCTCATTCCTGTTCCTTCTTCTTATCCATCGTAATGGAAAAGTCTCATTTAAAATTTGACGTGGCCCTAAACCAAAATGAGCAGGAGCTCCATCATGCTGAAACCATATTTCTTCGAAATTATTTGGAAAAATATTTCGTATGGCTGGAATTATTTGATCTACAAGTAATCTGCCATACCTTTGAGCGTTCAGATTTTCTTCACAAAAAGAAAAAAACGGTCCTATTAAGTAGCCATCTATTATTCTACACCATACATTTATTTTTTGTGGGTATTGTATGTGAGTTTCCCGCACCCAATTCGGATTCTCATCTGACCAGAAACGAAAATTTTGATTATTAACTTCTACCGTTAACGTGAAAGTTGCCTCGTCTGTAAAAACAATTTGATAAGGGAACATGGGCCGGACATCTATTAGTGCCATCATTCTTTCACAGAAACCTATACAACGCTCCACATCTCCGTCTTGCAATTCTTGAACATATTGTAATTTGTATGGATGGAACTTGTTTTTCTTTAAAATTCTCCAAACAGACTTGGGACCAATATCGTGAGTTTGAGCGGCTCTGTTAATAGTAGAATTGCGACCTTCAATAAATGTCTGCGGAACATCAAGTTGTTTTTCTTCGTTAATGGCAGGTCTCCCTGATTTAGAGCGATTGTTTAGGCTACCAGTTTCTCTGAAACGTTCCATTGTTTTTAAGACAGTGGACTTATTAATTCGACGATTCGGATACGTCTCATTAAATAATTGAGCGACAGCAGCGTACGACCGCTCGTTATCACCCCATCCACGCATCATGAGGATAGTGATTCTTTCACATTCCGACAATTCGCCAGCCATTTTTAAAACCTTTAATTTTTAATCTGCCTAAGATCTGTGAGAACTGATTTTAAGTAGCCGTGAGAACAACTGATTTTAAGTAGCAGTAAGAACAACTGATTTTAAGTAGCAGTGAGAACAACTGATTTTAAGTAGCCGTGAGATCAACTGATTTTAAGTAGCTGTGAGAACAACTGATTTTAAGTAGCAGTGAGAACAACTAATTTTAAGTAGCCGTGAGAACAACTGATTTTAAATAGCAGTGAGAACAACTGATTTTAAGTAGCCGTGAGAACAACCGATTTTAAGTAGCAGTGAAAACAACTGATTTTAAATAGTAATGAGAACAACTGATTTTAAGTAGCAGTGAGAACAACTGATTTTAAGTAGTCGGTTGATCCTGGATAACACTAAGTGCATGAAATTTCGAAATTTGAACGGCCACCATTTTTAATGGGGGAGTCGCAGCGACTTAAAATTTTAAGGGTGTGTTTGTTATGAAAAGACCTTTCAAATGAGCCCCCACTCGACTCTTAGTCCAATTAAAAATTTTCAACCCCCCTTTTACCTCCGCGTACCAGGGGGTGGGGAATGATCGGTATCCATGTCGTAGGGTAGCTTTTTTGAAAAATCAAAATACGTGTTTTACCGTTTTTTGATACTTTCATTTTTACAAAAATTATTTAAGGGTTTCCACACTTTTGACAAATACTGTACACAGAATGTCCCATTTTAAAGGGTCAACTCAAATATCTCAGAAACACTGCGTTAAACCGAAAAATGTTTCAGGTAAAAGTTGTTTGGCTTGAAGGGGGACATAAAACAGCGATAACATTTTGTTTATAGATGGCACCACTTTCGAGATATTCACTAATCATCAATTTTCTTAAATGGAAAGCCCTATTTTTTACTATATCATCTTTTTCTACCAATTAATTTGAACAACTTTTGTCTGAAACATCTTTTTATTTGCTTAATATTTTTTGAGATATTTAAAGAAAATTTGATAACTTTTTCAACATTTAACTTACGATATCTCGCTAACTATTCGTCGAAAGAAAAAATAGTAGACTTTTTTACTTTATTTACTATCAAGAATATGTTACTATAATAGTGCCCTAACTCTTGTTAATTTAATAATTTTGAAATTTCCAAAGATCGATAAGTTATTTCTCGTTTTCTTTATTTAAATTGCAAAATTTATTGTTATATATGCGTCAAATCGATTTTTGGACCATGAATTTTGAAAAAGTACACATAAAAATACTCGGACATATTTTTAAAAATTTTTTTCGATGGATTTCAGGTTAACGAAAGTGTAGAGATAAACACATGCAAGTTTGACGTTAATGGGTTAATGTAATGAGTCTACTTTTTGACATAATTTTATTAATTTTGTTATTTATTGTATATAAAAAGCAAAAGTTTCTAAAATATTTTGCAAATCTACTCAACCGATCGCAAGTACTATTTCATATACATGATTTTCCATTTTAACATATTTTACAAGAATTCTGAATGTGTTTTTCTGCTTTTAATATCGTTATAATAATAATTCTTAATCAGAGTGTGTTTCTTCCGGATGGATACCGCGGCGTAATTCAGCTTTGTGCCAACGTTTCTCAAACATTGCAGCTTGCATCATCAGAGCTAGGAGCTCCGATATGTATCATATGTATACATATCGGAGCTGCTAGCCCTGATGATGCAAGCTGCAATGTTTGCAAAACGTCGACACAAAGCTGAATTACGCCACGGTATCCATCCGGAAGAAACACATTCTGATTGGCCATTCTGATCAATGGCCGTAAAAGTTTAAAAACTAATAATTCTTAATCATTATTTATTATTCAAAATGACTGCAGTGAGAGAATGGAAGCTTTCAATTGCAGGAAATTAATTCTACAAGTTCTTTAAAGACAACAGTGTTACCTATATAATGCTAATGCATGCCCGGTGAAGTCCTGCGTGTTCTTGTCGAGACTGAATTTGTTGTACAACGCGCTCATGTTATTATTGAATGGATCAAATCCATCCCACGTTTTCGAATCATCTTCCTGCATGTTCTGCACCCACATGAGGAAACTACGGAAGCGCCGCTTTTCAAACAGGCCCATCAAGTCACTGGACAAGGCTTCCTGCTGATCGATTGGTACTTTGGAAATCTTCCCTGATTTATATACGTATGAACCTTCCACTGACTTGAATTCTAAATAACGCGTTACACCAGTGTGGATGAGCAACTTCACAAGAAGACCGTTCGCCATCAGGAACTTAGGAATCAAGTCGACGTTCCAATCTCGACCACGGCCATAGCTTTCATCTGGCGATGGAGCTTTAAACTTACTAAATGACATAAATATCAATTTAATATAAATAGAATCTACAGTAATTTATTTACATAATTAACAAAAGTTGAAAGTGCAAAAGTTTTAATGAATTTTATAAGAAAAAATGCGTGGACTAAATAATTTTATAAAAACGGTTTATTTATTCTACTAAGTAATTGCCATTGTTTTCTATCATCTGGTACATTATATACGAGGTCTGTCTAAAAAATATCCGACCTTTGGCTGTATTATGAGAAAGAACTATTCCGGAGTGATATGAATAACGTTGCCTTCAAAGTAGTTTCCTTCCGAAGCAATGACCCTCTGCCAACGGTGCACCCACTTGCGAAAGCAGACCTGGAAGTCGTTTTTTCTGATAGCCAACATTTCCCTCATCGCATTTCGCTTTATTTCCTCAACATCATCAAATCTTTTGCCCTTCAACGAATGTTTCAACCAAAAGTCACACGGGGTTATCTGGACTATACTGAGGTTGACGAAGTTGGACAATGCCGTGTTTAGTCAAAAACTCCTGAATCAGGTGAAATGAATGAGCAGGTGCGTTTCATGCAGTCATTGTGAAATGCGACACTCGAAGTTTTCAACGCTCACACAATTGCGTACCGTTGCCGACTGAATAGCTGTTGGGTCGTGTCGCTTGGTGGGGATACTTCTAAAGGTCCACTCTAAATAATGAATACCTATTTCCTACAATAAGATGTCCAAGGACAAAGATATACGCAGAGGTCGAATACTTTTGGGATAGACCTCGTACATCTGCATATTTGTAAATATCCATAAAACTAAATCAATCACAACTTTGAGAAAACCATTAAAACTTTTACATTCACTTAATGTAATAATTTTAAATTGAAACTTCCTATAACACACACACACACACACATATACACACACACACACACACTTGAGATAAGGTCACATTTATGTTATACTTAAGATATATCCTATATATATCTTAAGTGTAAAGTAAATGTGCAATGTATTTCAGAATCAAAGGTATACTCAGTATTTAAGTAAAATAATAAATTAAAGTAATAAAAAATTCATATAAACATATGTCCAATTCGACCTTATTTTAAATTATAGGGAGTTTTGTACTCTAATTATTAGATAAGTTAAACTAATATACCTAATTCTGAATTGACAATTTCTGGTAAATTCGATTAACATTTGATGGATTAAATGAAATCGATCGATGTTAAAATATTTATATACTGAAATGCAAAGTGACTTAATTTGAAAGTTCTTTACACGTTTATAAAAATATAAATGAATATAAACTTCGATAGAACTAAAACTAGTTACAACTCAATCAAAATACAATTGAATCAAACATATGTTTAGTTAAGTGCATCGAAATGTCTACTTTCGGATGTACAAAGATGTAGATAAGATACAGATAAACTCGTCATCTAAAGGCTTACATATCTGTCAAAGGGTCAGAGAGCACAGACGAAGCGCATGTACGACTAATCATTATTACTGGTCGTTACCTATGCGGTAAATATTACTAATCAAAAATCAATTACATAAAAATAGTTGGTTTCAACGCAAATGTATAATACCTACGTGCATTTGGTATAATGAATCGATTATGATCATGTTTTTTATATAGAACGTGCGTATACAGGGTGTCCCGAGAGGAAAGGTCAATATTTCGTGAGGGTATAGAATGAGGTAATATAAAGCAAAAATGTTATAGAAACATGGTGTTGTTTATTACTGGTTTCCGAGATACAGCAATGTTAAATTACACGGAATTTAAAATTGACGCGTCAATGGGACTTTATTCTTCATCGTAACGGAGCGCTGCAGGCTGTGTATCAGTTGAAAATGTTAGCGAAACACACCTGGTGATCTGTCCTGCTGTCCTTTGTGATACACTGCAAACATGCCGCACGTGTTTTATAATGTAGAGTACGTAGATATGGTTTACGTTTATGGGTATTATGATAGCAGTGCTCCCGCAGTCGTTGAAGAATATCATCGCCGTTTTCCGATACGCCGTATTCCAGACCAGAAGAGTATTCTCAAACATGTTTAACAGCTTACGTGAAGATGGTACACTTCCCAGTGCTCACATCACATCTGAACGTGGAGTTGAGAGAAATGTTGAGGAAGAAAAAAATGTACTTCAAATGGTACAAAGGAGCCCTACGACTAGTACAAGAAGGGTCTCTGCACGTATTGGTGTTCCTCGGACACGTGTCTGGTGGATACTGCATGACTAACATCTGTATCCATTTTATCCGCAACGAGTACAAAATCTCCATGAAGGAGATGAAGCCACACGTCTACAGTTTTGCCAGTGGTTACAGAATCATCGTGAATTGATTCCCGCCATACTTTTTACTGACGAGGCAACATTTACGTATAATGGCATAAATAATACGCGTAAAACCCATCGTTGGTCGCAAGATAACCCTAACGCCATTGTTATACAAAAGTTCGTTTCTCCGTCAACGTATGGTGCGATATGATTGATGGAATGCTGATTGGTTCCGTTATTTTACAAAATCGTATGACAGGGCAGAGTTACCTCGACTTTTTACAAAATACGTTTCCACAACAACTAGAAAATATTTCCCTGACTACACGAAGAACAATGTATTTTCAGCACGACGAAGCATCTCCTCATAACACATCTTGTGAGAGAACACTTAAATGCAGTGTTTCTATATCGCTGGATTGGTCACGGTGAAACGGTGCAATGGCCACAAAGATCACTCGACCTAACTCCCCTGAATTTCTGCTTGTGGGGTTGGTTAAAGTGCGAAGTGTATAAAACTAAAGTGAATACACGGGATGAACTTATTGCACATGTAATAGCCGCTGTTGACCAAATTAGGGGCCGTGAAGATGCCCTCCGACGCGCAACCCGCCACAAGGGTTGCGTTTTCACAAGATGTGACAAATGTATCGAAATACGGAGCGAAATATTCGAAAATTTGTTATGATAGACGTATTACAATGTAATTGCAGTAAATTTCAACTCATATTAGACAATCCGACGTGTAATTTAACATAGCTGTATCTCGGAAACCAGTAATAAATGACACTATGTTTATATAACATTTCTGCCTTATATTACCTCATTCTACACCCCCACGAAATATTAACCTTTCCTCCCGGGACACCCTGTATATATTATATACAGGGTGCACGATTTATCTGAAGACATTGAAATATCTCAAGAACTATGCATTAGATAAAAAAAAAGTGGTTAATGAAAGTTGTTAGTCTCGAAGGGGGACATCCAATGATACCAAACTCGACCTCCCATCCCACCCCCTGGGGGTGGGAGTTGGGGGCAACTTTGAAATCTTAAATGGAAACCCCCATTTTTTATTGCAGATACGGATTCTACGCCACAAAATACGTAAATTTTGCCGAAACTTTTTTTTTGATTCGTGATAGACGGCGCTGTAATCGCAAAAAATTATATTTTCCGCAATTCTCCAGAAATGATCATTGGATTGAGAAATAAAAAATACCTGTTCAATATTTTTAAAGAACATAATAAAAGTTATTCCCCCCATCCTCTCGGGGTAGGGTGGGTGATAACGTTCAAATCTCAATTGCACTGCCTTTTGTAATAAGCCGTAGGCATTGCACTGCCTTTTATAATAAGGCATTGCACTGCCTTTTATAATAAGCCGTAGTTCGCCATACACCCACAGTGGCGCGTCGAGTTTACATATTTTGTGGCGTAGAATCCATATCTGCAATAAAAAATGGGGGTTTCCATTTAAGATTTCAAAGTTGCCCCCAACCCCCACCCCCAGGGGGTGGGTGGGAGGTTGAGTTTAGTATCATTGGATGTCCCCCTTCGATTCCCTCTTCGATTCGGGTTCCCATTTGAGATTTGAACGTTATCACCCACCCTACCCCGAGAGGATGGGGGGGAATAACTTTTATGTTCTTTAAAAATATTGAACAGGTATTTTTTATTTCTCAATCCAATGATCATTTCTGGAGAATTGCGGAAAATATAATTTTTTGCGATTACAGCGCCATCTATCACGAATCAAAAAAAAAGTTTCGGACAAAATTTACATATTTTGTGGCGTAGAATCCATATCTGCAATAAAAAATGGGGGTTTCTATTTAAGATTTCAAAGTTGCCCCCAACCCCTACCCCCAGGGGGTGGGGTGGGAGGTTGAGTTTAGTATCATTGGATGTTCCCCTTCGAGACTAACAACTTTCATTAACCACTTTTTTTTATCCAATGCATAGTTCTCGAGATATTTCAATGTCTTCAGATAAATCGTGCACCCTGTATAAGTGAGGCCGATTGTTTTTTTCCTGATCTGATCTATGACCAATGATATCTATCAAATAACGAGTTTTAAATATTACAATTATACCAGGTCTGTAAATATAAAACCGGAATTTGTCCATAGATGGCCCTAGCTGTCAATGTAGTTACCGTTAAACCGCGTCATTGGCGCCATTTTGATTTGTTGACATCTGACAAAAATTTTCAACTCACAACAATACAAGTTTCATACAACAGCATAGTTTGTAATAGCGTTAAATATGTCGAATTTTGTGCCTGGAAGCTACGATTTGCGGACAGCATTGATTTTGTTGAACCATTTGAAGAAAACTGCTGCAGAATCGCATCGAATGCTTGTCGAAGCTTACGGTGAGCATGCTCTTGATAAATCAGTGTTTTGAGTGGTTTAAAAAATTCAAACGTGGCGATTTTGACGTGAGAAACGAAGAACATGGAAGACCACCGAAAAAGTTTGAAAATAGCGAATTGCAAGCATTGTTGGATGAGGATGACGCTCAAACGCAACAACAACTCGCGGATCAATTAAATGTGACACGAGAAGCCGTCTCCATACATTTGAAAGCCATGGGAAAGACCCAGAAGATGGGAAAATGGGTTCCACATGAACTGAATGAAAGACAGCAGGAAAACCGAAAAACCACTTGCGAAATGCTGCTCGCCAGGTACAAAAGAAAGTCATTTCTCCATCGAATTG